ATGGCAAAACAACTCCCAAGGTCAGGCAATCTCAGTGCAAAGAACATTCATAATTATTTAACTTTGAATGTGGGCAGTTAACGAGCAAGGAGAAGTCTTGGTGCAGCGAGGTTGCCCTACTGTTTCAGCTGTTCTGGTAACTGTTGTTGCTTATGGTCATCAGAAAGTACCCTTTCCTGCAATGGAAATCACAGCAGCATTTCCATTAAATAGACGATTGCAGTTTCTGAGTATATACTGTTTCTCCAGATCATCACTTACTCTGTTCAGGGAATCTTATTTTGGGATCTCACTGATTTGTACTTAACTGAAAGCAGACGCAGGCAGGACTTCAGCACAGCACAAGTACTGTCTATGAGCTTACCATGTTAATATTCAGGGAAGTTATCTTATTAATAATTGAGTTTTCTCTGAGTCAGTGGACATCGGACAGACCCTGGGTTTGTAGAACAATCCATTATCGCTGCCACTCACAGGACGAATGTCAAATCTTGATATTAGAAATGGGAAATGACATATTAAAGAAAGATTGTAAAGAATGTTCTGCGTTGTGCAGGATCCAGTCTGGAATTCGCATGTTATATTGGGATTGAAATTATCAAACTGTCCTACAAACCTTTCAAGCTACTAATCATGATGACAGCAAATTGGGAGCGTATCCTGTGTTAGCCTCGGTGGCCAAGAAAGATCATAATCACAAGCTCATGATTGTAAGATCACAAATCATAGTCTTCTGTCTGCCATTCATCCAGCTGGGAAGCAGAGGGGTCAAAAATGATCCAGGTGTGCAGGAATATGAAGACATGCTGAGCTCTTTGAAGAAGCTAAAGAGTCGGACCGGGAGATCCACACAGCATTGCCAAGATATTTCACAGAAAGCAAGGAGAGTCAGTCACCCAGCTAACGCAGATTCAAGATAGACCAACGTAGTATCAGTGATTAAAGTTTCTCCAAATCTTAAATGCTAGAGAAGAACTAGCAGGTTATTGTAGGAAGAAGCAAGCTGTGGTAATCCTGAGTTCCTCTCTGAAATTGTGTCCAGTTCTGGGCCCCTCAGTTCAAGAAGGACAAGGAACTGCTTGAGAGAGTCCAGTGCAGGGCCACAAAGATGATGGAGTGGAGTGTCTCCCTTATGAGGAAAGGCTGAGGGAGCTGGGTCCCTTTAGCTTAGAGAAGAGGAGACTGAGGGGGGACCTCATGAATGTTTATAAATATGTAAAGGGTGACTGTCATGAGGATGGAGCCAGGCTCTTCTCAGTGGCGTCCAATAATAGGACAAGGGGAAATGGATGTAAGCTGGAACACAGGAAGTTCTGATTAAACATGAGGAAGAACTTCCCAGTAAGGGTAACAGAACACTGGAACAGGCTGCCCAGAGAGGTTGTGGAGCCTTCTTCTCTGGAGATGTTCAAAACTCGCCTGGACGAGTTCTTGTGTGATCTGATCTAGGTGGTCCTGCTCCGGCAGGTGGATTGGACTTAGATGATCCTCTGAGGTCCCTTCCAATCCCTGACATTCTGTGATTCTGTGAAAGGAAACAAAACGCACAATGTTGCTGTAGGAGAAATGGAAGGATTCTAGAAAGTGATTATCAAACTGTTTCTGATAGAAACTAGAATTTTCTGGATTTTTGTTTTCTGGCATTAACTTGCAGGACAACAAACTACCATGTTGTAGTTGTCTCCGTAGCTTGCAAAACTTATTATGGAGTACACTCATTTAACTTGTAAAATTCTTACTGTTGGCTGGAGGAGGTCAACTCCTTGAAGACGAGATTGGGAATGGGTGGCAGACTATGTCAATATTACTGGTATGACATTTTGAAAATAAGTTACATTTTTCTGTCCTCTCTGCTGAGAAGAAAGAGTATTTTAGGTAACTCCCATGAAAATGCTGAAGAACTTGAAAGAGCCAGTGAGATGAAGGAGAAAGAAGCTGCATTGTAAGTTTGGTGTCAATAAAGCAGTTAGCCCTTATTTCTGGAGAATGCCACTGCTTTGGGCTGCAGTTTCACACTCTGCTTTTGCTCATTCTTTGCTCTGCGAACACAGTGCTTGGCTTTAGTGAGGACTAACCTAAAGAAAAAAAGCTCTATGCTCTTCTCTGTGCACATATTCCCTAATATTTCTGTTTCTGTGCTTGTTGCTCTTTCTTCATTGAAAATGTACTGCTTCAGTAATTTAATAATTCTATAGTCTTATTTTAATGCTTTGCACTGAGTATGTATGTTGCAAAAGAAGTAACCTCTGGCTTCCTCAATGCGTTTACTTGAATTGACATTTTCGTCTAGCTGCTTAATGATTTTTTTTTTTGGTGTTTTAAAAATCCCCTTTTTCATATGACAGCCTTACCTTCACTACAAATTACAAACTATGGAAGAAAGTACTAATAACAAAATAATGATTTCTTGATGGTATAAGAAAAAGTGGCAGGAGCTATAAAAAGCATAAGGGATCCTTTGAAAAACACGATTTAAAAAAAAAGCCAACAAAGAAGAAAAGATATTTACGTACGTACACGCCAGGAAATGAGCTCGGTTTTTATTTTTCGACTTGGCGTAGCGAATATTTGGAGGTCAGTGGTTTGATGTATGAGTTTTTACATGAGTAGTAGCAGTTCTAGGCTGTTTACAGCATGGTACAGAGTCTTGTAGTTTTCTTTCAAGCTTTGTAATAGAAAATCATTTTGTAATCTAGAGTAGCCACAAAAGTTAGGTTGAAGATTGGTTTTTATGAAGATGATCTTCAAAGGTGGGTTTTCTGTTTAGAAAAAAGATGAATGTGGGGAGCTATTGGTGAAAAGTGATTTGAGGTGCTGCTAGAAATACAGAATTAACTGCCAGTTTTCAGTGCCACTCCTAGCTGCAGTGTGGGATGTGTCTGTTAAATATTGTAACCTCACGTTTACACTAGTGAATTGTCCACAGGTGTCTAGAGTTCCTTCTACAGAACGATGCCAATCCGTCCATCCAAGACAAAGAGGGGTACAACACTGTGCATTACGCTGCTGCATATGGTCACCGGCAGTGTTTGGAACTGGTGAGTGCTCAGACAGTTTCGGAAGTCTCTTATCTGCTGATATATATGTCCATGTGCATATAGTGCTTATAGTAATCTGAACTACCCTCCTGGTTCCAATTTGAGTTCCTTGGATATTCACGGATCAGTGAGAACCTGCAATATGGTGCAGTAAACTCAAATATATGCAACCAAGTGTATCTTGAAAACATGTTAATCTTGATAATCCAGTCCTTGTTCAACAAGCTGGTGCTTAAGTGTTGGTTTTGAGTGGAGTTCATGTACGCTGAAATTATTTTGAACTGTGATCAAAATACTCCCAGTGTATGTGTACGTACCAGTAGTAAGGGATAGTTCCCAGTGCATGGCAGTGTATGTACCCTGTTTAGCTGGCACGTTTTCTGACTTGCAAACTGAGAGAGTAAATAGTTTTTGTCAGCGGCATACCTGCAGTGCCTTTTGCTCTGGTTGAAACAATAGCAGCATTGATAAAGTTACCACAATCAAGATTAACCTTGTATGCAATGTAACTTTTTTTGTTGTTGTTATTGTTGGTTTTTAATGGACCTGAACAATTAGAAATTGCATCTCACAAGAAGCCAAAAATTTTTAGCCAAAAGATGGATTTGAGAGATGTATAGTATGCATTTGTGGAAGTTCATCACTTGCAAAAATAAGTGTCATGAAGATGGGTGTTAAATGAACTGCTCGATATACAGGGTGATCCAAAATTACTGTCACATATAAATAGGCTTCAATTGCTTTTCAAAGAAAACTCTAATTAGAAAATTGTATAGATATTCATGCTTTAGTAAGAACACTGTGTGCTGTTTAGTGTTTTATGTTGTTTGGTCCTTTCTTTCTTTATTGAAGAGTCCAAGTACTTAATTGTTGAACAGGAGCTCTGCTCTGACATGGCCGAGCGCTGTCAGGTGCTGCCACGGCAGGAGAGGTGCTGCAGATGGCCTAGGCAGGGTCACAACCGCTGGGAAACCTTGACCTGGAATTACGCCAGGGCAGCCCTGGCTCGGAATCACAGGAGGAATGTTGAGCCTTTTTAGCTCCCACCTGCAAGGATGTATATTTAGGACACTTAAAATGTCACTGCTCCTTTGTTGCTTGGGGCAGTGAATTTGCCCGTTCCTTGTTTAGAGCCTTTTCCTAGAGCTGATCTCTGGTGACGCTGCCCGCAGGGATGGAGCAGTTGCCCATTGGGAACAAAAGCGAATGTTCTTGGTATTTGTTGGGTGTGTATGTAGAGTAGCCTTCTCTGTGCTGTGTACAAGCCTACGCTTGCCCGGCCACAGCAACGCGTATTGCAGCCTCACCCGAGTCTTAGCACCACATTCCTGCGTGACTTCCGTGAGCAGAGATGGCTGTAACAGCACCTTCGCTGGGGAATTCTCTTCCAGCCTGCATATCACTGCTCCTGCGTGCCGCGAGGCGCGGAGCAAGGGCCCCTCTCAGTCCTTTTGCTTGTCGCTGTGCGCGTTTTCTGGCAACGTATCGGTTGCAGGCAGCGACCTGCTGTCGAGCCCCGGTGCTGCTTAGGCTTGCCAGGCAAAAGGAAGGGCGGGGAAGGCAGTGTGTACCAGAGGTGTTGGGTTTTCTTTTAATACTGGAGGGTGAAGTGCAAACTGCTGTGGGCTAGAGGGAGCTGTGCAGCAAGCGCTCTATATTTGGACAGAGAAATTCAATGTTTTTCCATGTCAATCTTCCCCTATTTGTGACTAGAGATGGCATACAGAAACCCAGGGTCAAGCATCGTTTGCAGAGTTATAGTCATACGGCTGTTCTGTGTACACCAGTGAAAGAAAGCTGCTGTGAATTTTAGCCTTTGCATGCAAAAGACCACAATTGTGCACTAGGGTGTCTTACCTGAAAGTGTTTCCAGGACCAGGATTTTGCCATCGGTGTTTAGAGGTTGGCAGGCATCTCATTTTCTATCTGGAATACAAAAGCTACATGTACCAGAGAGCATTTGTGCTCGATCAACAGTAGGACCAGGACTTGTCATCTTTGCACCCACTGTCAGAAGAATGTGATTTGGTTTTGTTCATGTGAGCAGTTTTCCCTTAGCTCTAGGGAGTTACCAAGTCCTGGATTTAATAACTTTATATTTGATAACAGTGACTGACTGACTGACTGATACAGGCACACTGATTTTTTTGCATTGCTTGGATTCAGGATGACAAGAGAGTCAGGACCAAAGTCTTGAGTAGCTGAAAGGTGATTGTGCCATGGGCATGAAATGGAAATAATCCTCGTGCCTAAGTTTATTTGCTTATTCCAATATGAGACTCCTGGGTGTTAAGACAATTGTTGATTCCTGTGCTTCATCTGATGAAGTAGTGTCATCTGTAGACGTCGCTATCCTGTAATGCAATCCAGTTGGTTTTGGCAGAGTTATGGTTAGTTATGGCTATTTGCAGGCTGTGTGTAAAGGCTGCAATAAGGATTCATCTGGCACAGATGGAAAGGAGCCTTGCTGTCTTGTGAGGCTGACTGGTGGCTTGGTCACAGTTTGATGTGCTCTCTGTGGTGGCCCTATGACAAGGACTTCATCATGAACCATGATCTTTATTTCTGGTAGCTATTAACCACAGTACATTGACTGCTCCAGCTATTCATGGTTGAATGAAGCATCCACTAAGGTTTAGTTGCTTCTAGGCATGACTTTTATCTAGAGGCCCCTTCCTTTCCACATAGCAGAGAGAACAGTAAGTCATCAAATGCCATCGTAGTCCTCAAGCCTTCTGTTTACCAGGTTTGAAAACCAAACCAACAGAGAACCAGAAAACTGGAAACACTGTTTGCCTCCTCCTCTCTCCCGAGCCATGCTGGGCTCTTCTCAGTAATGGTGGAGGCAGCTGCCGAGTCCAGTTAACGCTGCAGGTTGACTTGGTGGGTTAGTGGGTAGAGTAGGTGTGCGAGGTTATGTCGGAGGAGGGCTTGGCTGGTTTTGTTGCTGCATCTTGGAAATACATTTTCTTATTGTTTTTCTTATCTTCGGTGCTAATGGAAAGGAAAAGAAGATTCACAATATTTTTAGTTGCTCTTACTCAAGGAACAGTGGGAGCCCAGCAGCCCTGATTCCAATGTAAATATGTCTGTAGATAGGCAGGGAGATTTTTTTTATGTTGATTCCACACATGCAATAACAGAGATAAATTGATGTCTGTCTTAAAAGTGCTAACTGCAAACAACTAATTTGTATCACAGGAACTCTGACATACGGAATACTCCTTCTAAAATATTTCCAATCCCTTCCATCCTGAAGAAGAGATTTTCAGGCAGGGTTACTGAAATAACATTGTTTTTCAGTGCTAAGTTAACTCTTTTTTTACTCTTTTGTCCCTTTGGTAAATAATTTTGGTTTATTACTGATAGCTCATAGACGAAAATACCTAGGAATTGTTTTCCCTAGAACAAGACAGTTCTTCATGGCATAAAACTGTTAGAGGAAAGAGTACATATAAAATATGAAGCTTTAATTTCTGATAAAAACTAAGGCAAAGTGGGTGCAACAATAAGCTTGATTTTATGAGTAATGGTTGCTAGTATTTCTCTACAGGCACAATACTGAGCTTCGGCAAAATGCTAGGGAATTATTTCAGTGTTCCAGCATATATCGAGTTAATAAAAGACTTTGTAAGATTAATTTTTCCTTATCCTCTCCTCCCTGGTTTTTATAACACGTATCTAAAATAGCTTATTTCTAAATAAATGATCACTTGGGGAAAAAGAAAAAAAAAATAAAAGAAAAAATCTAAAGAAGAAGGTGGAGTGTCCAGCAGAGTTTCCTTCACTGGGGGATCTGATCTGTGCTTTAAGCACTATAGCTTCTTAGTGTTACAAAATATTTACACATTTGAGTACAGTTTAGGAAATGTTGGTTTATTTGTGAAAATATATTTTCATTTTTTGACTTTTGTGTTTACTGTGAGTCCAATACCTTCGCCAAAATTTAGCTAAATTTCTTTGTGGGGAGAGGAGAGGTATTAGGAGAGATAAGGATTGAGAGTGAAAAGGTCATATCCTGTGACCCAAACAAATAAAATTTGTGTTTGTGTGTTCAACCACAGAGCTAAATGACAGAAGCTTTTTTCCTGGAGGACCTTTAGATTGCCTGGGACATTATTGGGGTAGTTGCCCTGCAGTGAAAGACGTGATGTTGCTAATGAGAGAAGAGTGGAAGCAGATTCTTGAATTCTTCCTCTGTCTGTAAGGAGCCATTCATAAAGGCTGAATGGTGGGCATGTGTGCTGGCAAGCAACTCAAACTCCCATCTGCTTTCCTACTTCTAAAAATAATCTCACGTTTGTTTAGATTGAGACCGACTTCTTTGGTGTTCAGTAGTCTCCGATGTTGGTCACGATCACTAGCTGTTAATTTTAGAGCTGATCACATCACCCAACTACTTTGAAAAAAGGAAAAATATGGTAGGTTTTTTTCACTGAAATTATCTGTTATCACAAAATCCTTATTAGTGTGAAAAGAGTGAAATTTAAATTGTAATTTCACATTAAAGTTCTCTGTGGAGAGCCAGTCAAGCAGTTTGTGCTGGTAAAAATAGGTTTCTGTGCAGTGTTAGAGCAAACAGAATTAAATGTTTGTCTCCTGTAGTGAAATCTCTTCTCTGACTGTAAGAATCCGTGGTTATTTTTGCTTTTAATCAGCTTTTCTCTTTATTCCATCAGCAAATGAATTTCACTCTTTAGCTAATAGAAATGTAATGGGCTAATTCACTTGAGGATGGGAGGAGAGCATGATTTAACTGAAAACCATGTCCAAAAGAAAAGGCAAATGTCCATCTTCCTGCCTGCAGCAAGGTGATCCTCACAGCTCTGTGTGTCAGGGGAAGGGGCAGAGGGAGATTTCGCGGAGCGGAAGGCCATCTTAGCTGTGCCGTGAAAGGAGAGGCTGGGTTTGAAGAGAAAGAAAACACCTTTTATTAGACCTGCTGTTACTGCTGGAAAATAGTTAAGCTGTGCCTTCAAGCACTTGGTTCCTTAACCCAT